CTGAAAACAGGAGGACTGCTATGAGTCTGAGCTACCTAGTGAGATCCTGTAGACCCTGTACTAAAATACATTTTTAAAAATGTAGCCAGTTTTGGTTGAAATTATAGACTCACAGTTTTCTTTATTTGTTGTGTTTTGGTTTTCATTTTATCTGAGGTAGCTTTTCCCAAAGTAGTTCAGGCTGGCCTTGAACTCACAGCAGTTCTCTTGCCTCAGCCTCCTGAACCAGCCAACATGGCAGGCTGGGTTTTCTCTACTCACTCTCAGATGTTTTGGTGTAATTGCAAATTGAACTGACCTGGAATTGGGATTTTTTTCCCAGCGAATATAATGAAAGCTGACAGACACAAGCAAACTGACTGTGTTTTCATGGCAGTGATTATGGTGATGGACTGTGGAATATAAAGCGAGGTAAGTAAGAACGTGTTGTAAGCACCAGGATGTTAAAAGTGGTAGAATCAGTGGATGGAGGAGGGGAGTTTAGAGGTGCAGCAGAGGAAAGACAGACATCCAGAAACTTGGATGCTTGAATTAAAGACTTCAGAGATGGTAAATTATTGGTGAGGGGAAAAAAATGAGGGTACATGGTATAGCTATCATGCATATGGGATATCAAGGACACTCTGAGGTGATGACAAGAAGAACACAGTGAGTGACCCAGGTTCTGAGATCATCAGGGAGGATGACGGCCAGGAATAACGAGCGGACTGCACCCACTGGTAGTGGCCTTGTGTGTTTCCACTGTAGCTTACTTCGTGAGCTTGTTCTCTTGGTCAGTAGTGGTGAGGCTGAGCTTTGTGGTGTTGCAGCCAGGAGAGGTGTGGCCCGTGTGGAAACATACATTCTTGGCTTATTTCTAGGTTTCTGTGGATAATATCTCAGCCAACGAAGTCACCACCTTGGTAGGTGGGGTAGAGAAAATACATGGAGTTGGTCAAATGCACTTTGTTTGTCCAGTTTTTTTTTCTTTTGTCCAAGATCAGTCTTATGTCAAGGGGTGCAGGGTAGAATGAAAACCTACTAGTGTGAAAAAAAAAAAACCCACTAGTGTTTTCCTTTTGAGAAAACATTTTGGAGGTAGAAGGCGGTGACCTCAGGGCCTTTGTACTTAGCTACCTCCTCAGCATACACTCACCTTTTAATTTTGGATCTTGGTAATTTGCCCAAGGTAGCTTCAAATTTGAAGTCTTCCTGCCCCGGCCTCCCAGAGTGCTGTGTTGATAGGCAGGCACCACCTCACCTGGCTCCCACTACTTACTTGTGGTCAACTTCGTATTCTTGGAAGACATTCAGTTTCTTCAGACTTGCTAGGCAAATCCTCAAGGTTGTTCTTATAACATAGTGTACTACTTATGACTCCTCTTGCCTACCGGTCCTCCTGTGAAGGATTGTTCCTACGTAGGAGAGAAAACAAACATTCAGAAAAGCACTGAGCGTCTGTGTCCTCATATACTGCCCCTTTGGACAGAACCCGACAGCTTCTTCCCTGAGCACCCTGCGTTCATACGCGCGCTGCAGTTCTTCAGACAATAATGTCTCAAACGCATTTTGCTTGTCCAGTTTTTTCCTTTTGTTCAAGATCAGTCTTATGTCAAGGTCAAAGTGCAGTTGGACAGTGGAAGCCATGGGCAGGTGCACTAAATGCCACGGTAAACATTAAACAGTTGTACTTAATTAGCTGCCAGCACTACAGACTGTTGCTTCACTCTCAGGACACTACCACTGCTTTCTCTTGCCAGCTGGATGGATCACCTCTAAATATGAAAGCCCTTTTCGCTCCAGGAAGCCAGCAATAAAACTAAGCCCTGCCTTTCTTGGCCTCCCTTGTCTTTTAGGAATGGACTGTATGGGGCAGGGGAGATGGCTCAGTGGAATAAGCGCTTCCCTGGCAAGCGCAAGGGCCTGAGTTCAATCCCCGGTTCTGCAAAAAAAAAAAAAAAGGAATGGACTGTAGTCTGCATCTTCTGTAGCCTTAACTTGAATAGCCAAGGCTGGGGCTGGAGAGATGGCTCAGTGGTCTAACGCACCTACTTGGAACAAGCTTGGCAAAGCACAGGGACCGCGGTTCGATCCCCCAGCACCACATGCTAGCCAGCTGCGCCCCCTGGTGGGCTGAGCTGGCCACACACACACACACACACGCGCGCGATAAATAAATGTTAAAAAAAATTAAAAAATTGAATAGCCAAGGCTTCTCCATCCCACACCACTATGACCACTGGTTTTATTTTTTATTTTTTTATTTTTTGTTTTTTGTTTTTTTTCTTGCTGCACTTTATTTTTTTTAATTTTTTTTATTGACATCAGTTATTTTTATTTTAAAGAAAGAAAAAAAAATAAAAACCACTGGTTTTAATTAGGATTAGATTTAGCTACATACAATAAAATCTTCAGTAACAAGATAGCTTAGTGGACTGGCAAGATAGCTCCCTGGACTAAGCCCCTGCTTAGGCAAGCACAGGGGCCATGGTTCCCCAGTACCACATGCTGCACGGGCCCCACCTCCAGGGTGGGCTGAGCCGGCCATTGAGTTTGAGTGTAGTGGTATATGCCAGTAATCCTAGCACTGGGGAGGCTGAAAACAGAAGGATCACTATGAGTCTGAGCTGTGTAGTTCTAACAGCTGGGATTGAATATATTGGCCATGGGGGACCACATTAAAAGGAATTACAGAACTTTTATTAATTAACCAGTGACCTATGTGCTCCCCTTCTCACCTGGGAAGACACAGTTCTTTGTTCCCTATCTGCTTTTATAGTTTCTTTGATGCTGTGGTAATCAGGCAGGAATGCTGTGCCCCTGTATCCTATAGGTGTGAGGTCTTGGGAAGAGGGATTTATGGCTAAGCATGGGCAAATAGTCTGTATCTTATTGTCCTAAATGGGTCCTATCTCTCCTTATTGCCTATATATGTTCGTGAAGTTCTGACAGGGCAGGGAAGGGGTGAGGAGTGGGGTCATTTAGGCAAGGCTGCTCCTACGTAAATAGTTCAGGTAGGAGTTAAACTACACTGAATTCTGCCTCAGTCTCTTCTGCTTCTAAAAGTGAATAGGGTATTACACTAGATGTCATCCCTTACACAAGGAGACCCTGTAACAACCAAGTACGTTAAAAAAGAAAGTGGCTTAAACTAAAACATTATTTTTTTTAACATAAAGAAATCCAGAAAGTGTTAATTCAGGGCTTACAAGACAGTTACTTGAATTGGTCAAAGATACATATGGGCTCTTTGCGGTATTCCACTTTATCCCATCAGATGTGGTGCCCATCCCTTGTCCAATGTCACCGCTAGATCACCAGGCACCACCATCACTCCAGACAATAGTAACAAAAATAGGTTCATCCCATTCTTTTTTTTCAGAACCAGGGATTGAACTCAGGCCCTTGCGCTTGCCAGGGAAGAACTTATTCTACTGAGCTATCTTCCTGGCCCTAGGTCCCCATCCCATTCTTTTAAGAAGTCTTCCTGTACTTTGTACCTACCAGTGGCCAAAACCTAGTCACATGGCCACCTATATTTAAATTTCAGTTTACATTTAAATTTGTTTGTTTTCTTTTAAGAAAGAACAGTTGAATCACTAACTAGAGGCACCTCTGTCCTGCCTCCTTCCCTGTCCAATACACAGAAACTAAACAGCTAGAGACACCCTGGCCTGTGAAACAGGAAACAAAGTTTAGAAGGACAGAATGATTGCGGAGTCGGGTGATGATAAACAGGAATTGGCAGTTGGATTCGGTCATGTTAAAGAACAGAGTTTCTTGAGTTTTACAATACGATTAATACTTGGTGATTATCAGAGGGATAGGGTTGGGTTACAGAGAAGTCAAAGGATAAAAATATTCCTATTAGATTAGGAGACTAAGTTCAAAAGATTTGCTGTAAAACATGGTGACTATGTTTAATAACAACATATTGTATTCTTGGGTTTTTGGTTTTTTTTGTTTTTGTTTTTGTTTTT